AAACCCCTAAACCCTAAACTCTATAAACCCTGGGTGTAAGCCGTTAAGGTGTAGGGGCTTTGTGTCTTGGCGCAACTAGTGTACGTTGGTATGAGGGCTGAGCGATAAAGGGCTCCACCTAGACCCTGATTCCTAAACCCCAAACCCGAAGCCTTAAACCCTATACCCAACCGTATTTGTTGGATGCAGGGGTGGGTTTACCCTCGTAAGGGGGTTTGTGTTAAACCCCAAACGTTGAACCCACAGTCTGAACCCCAAACCCTAGATTAGAGTTTTGACCCCAAACCATAAACCCTAAACCCTAAACCCCAAATCCTAAACCCCCAAATCCGTGGTAGGCATAAAGATAGGAGCTGACATCAACGCAGAGCCACCACTGCCTGTGTAGGCGGCTTATGTACTGCCATAAGGCCTATACATGAGGAGGACCCCCCACCCTGTAATAGTGGTATAATCGGAATATAACAGGACGCTAATATAATCCTTATTATCCAGAATAGTCACTATTACTGGGTGGGGGGTCCACCTAACCTATACAGGAACCCTGAACCCTAATCCCTAAACCCCTGGGTTGAAAGTGCAGTGATAAAATGTCAAAGGATTGGAGCACAAGAATCATTGCGTTTAGGGTTTGGGTTTAGGGTTTAGGTTTAGGGTTTGTACACGGGTTGGGGTTTAGGGTTTACATAGGGAGCACGATAGGGATTCCTTATTTCATTCCCTACGAACAGCAAGGCATTCATGCTGTCCTTGGACTCACGGATCGTTGGCTGACTCCAGTGGATGACTTGCAAGACTGTGATCTGGGAAGCACCTTGTGTGCTACCGAAGTGAACTGTGGTGAACAGCTTGGATGAAGACCATGACTCCTGTACATGGCCTACTCTACTCTTGGCCGAGGTCTTTGGCCGGACCGCCAACAAGTTGCCTCGGGTTTGGATGGAACGAGGGAATGGAAAAGAGAATGGAAGCTGCTATACGTATATGTGTATATATATCTATATTACAGCTATGGATCTAGTGCTTCATTCCTTGCTAGCCAGAGGTAAAACACCCCCAACTTTCATTCTGTGCTTGGTTTATCTCAGACATGGGATGTCCACTGCGATCGAGGCCGAAAAAAGCAAGGACTGCCCTTTAGGGTTCAGGGCTTAGGGAGTTCCATTGAAAGCTTTTGGTTCCTGTTCTGATGAAATGCATCGCCATAATGGAGAATCAAATGACAGAGAGAGTGGAAAAGAAATTTTGACCGGGGGGCTGACATCCGGGCTCGTTATAGGGCTTTTAATGTAGAAGCCGGAAGAATTGCCGCTTTCATGCCCTAGCAGCCCTTGAATGAATGTGTCATAATGTACACCCAGATCCTATTCTGGCCCCTGCAACATCTTGTCGTATAGATGTACAATGCGCACGGGGTAGCAGCTAAAGATGTGGGTGGGTGCGTGCTGCATGAAGTATGGCCTGATATGGTTGAATGCATGGTGGAGGCATTAAAGCTGCAAATCTTGCTGTGTTTACAGTTTAGGGGTCTAGGGCTCAGATGATTCTTCCTATCATCGTTACTGTACTTTTCAAATCATTACTATCACTAGCATTATTATTGTTACTACCATTTTATTGTTGTTAGTATTTACTTTTCTAAGGTTGTTTCTTTTTGTACTGCAATGTCAAGGTGCATTGAGTGGGTGGTTGTTGTTGTTGTTGTTGGTGGTGGTGGTGGCGGCGGCGGCGGCGGCGGCGGCGGCGTTCAATCTTTATGTTTTTGCTTTCTGTCACTGTGGCCGTGTAAGTGCGGCGACAATCACAGAGCCCCTTCCATGAAGGGGAATGTCACAACTTCATTCTGCCCACATTTTCTTTCCAAAACAAAGGCGCCCATTGTGGAATGCGAGCCTGGCTCCAGATTTGCTACAACCCCTAAACCCTAGACCCAAAACCCTATCCAACTTCAATATATACTGTATTAAAATATAGTAGATCCAGGGTTTAAGTTTTATCATAGTAAAACCCAAAGGAATGATTAGAACTAGTATTTTTTATTGTAGGTCTAAGGAGACTGGAAATCTAGAACCCAAGCCTCCTAAATTGGGTTCGGGCTCTCGCGGTCTAAGTCACAGCCCCAAAGCCCTAAACCCTGCAATCCCGCGGGAAAAGCCCACCACACTGTTGGCAGTCATCAACTTAACATCCAGATCTTAACTTTGAACTCCAAAGCTGACGAACCTCAACCCTAAGCCCTAAACCTTATAATAATGCCTAAACACTTGTTTGTCACAAATTGTAGTCTACCCTCAGCGGTGCCGGATGGATTCTGCTGACAGCCAGGATAAGGATGTGGGGGAGGCTCTTCCGTATCCAGTGCTGGGAGTTATGTGGATTATTGGGGTCATGTGCGAATGGGGTATAGCAACTTGACATTTTGTGGATTATGTGGAGATTCTCTGGGGGGTCTATGCAAACTAGCTGGTTCTGCTAGAGGTTGTGTGTGGATCCCACCCGCATATTGAGGTTTGCGGGGCTTAGGGAAGTTTAGCGTTTACGGAATTACAGAACCGTGAACCCTAAAGCCTAAACCCTGAAATTACACTTTGTACCTTAGGGCTCGGGGATGGACGTTGTATTGGTAGGCTTAAACCCTGACAATGGAGCAGCTGGTGTTTTGGGTTTAGGGTTTAGGGTTGGAAAGTCAAGCGTTCCTGGGTTGTACCCCTAAGGTCGTACCCCTAAAGGGTTTGCCCAACATGGCCCTAATGTAGCCCGTATATGAGCCAACATAGTCCCCTAGATTCCCTTTAAGGGATCCCCAACCCAGGGGTACAACCCTAGGGGTACAAGCCTAAAATCCTAAAGCGGGGGTTTCAAAAACCATGTTCCCCCCTGCATTGCCCCAATGATCTTGTGAGCCCTATTACAAAGACCGCATTTCTTTGAAGCTCCCACGTAGGGTGACGGTGTCCGTGACTATTCAAGTTTGTGCGAATGGAGTTTGTCGCGTCATTGGCAGCACTCTTTGAGTCCAGACGTTTCCTGCTACATTGTCAAATCCAACTTTTAAGACAGGCTCCTAAACCCTAGCCCCCTAAACCCTAAACCGCCTGAACCCTAAACCCTAAAGCGCTGAACCCTAAACCCAAACTGCTAAGGCCCTAGACCTCCTAAACCCCCTGAGCCACAAAACACCATAAACCCCAAATCCTATACCTTAAGCCTTGAATAATATAGTAGCTTCCATTTCATTTTCCATTTCAATTTTTCAATTGATTTTCCATTTGATGCTCCATTGTTCAAGCCCTACGGCCCAGATCTGGATTTTCAACCGGAAGCCTTGGCACCATAAATGGGCTGCTGTTAAGGAACTTGAAATAAGTTAGTGGAATAAGGAAGCCCTATCATATATTATATACCCATATCATGGTAACCTAATTTAAGCTTCGCAACAGCAAGTCAGATAACCTTACACCCAAGACCCTGAACCCCTACGGACGCTCAACCGGAAAACAAAGGATAAGCTAGGCTCTCTAAACCCTAATGTCCCACTGACCTCAAAATACCGCCCCCCCAGATCTTGTCTTGCGTTTTTGGTCTACGGAGAGGGGGGGGGTCGCGATACTAAACCAAGTAGCACAGCTCGTAGTACTTGTAGTACAAGTAGAAGGGAATCTATTAACATCGGGATATTTTTGGGCGGCCTATATTATTATTGCCACTCCCTTATGATTGACGATAGATCGTGTTTATATCTTTGCGGGCTCCGAACTTGCTAGCAAGCAAACGTAGTCTTCCGGGATTTTTCTGGCCCGGCAACAAAATGCTATTGTCACCCCATTTATTATTGCTAGCTCAACAGTAAACCTTTCACCCTAAGCCACAACACCTTACACATTCCGTGCCTCCCGAGAACCTCAATCCTAATCCCGACTTAGAAATGACTGCTGCACACGGATGGCGCCTGCGAGGCATCCTCACATGTTCGCTGGACATTTGGGGGTGGACAATCAGGGTTTTTACCGCCGAACCCCCGCGAGCCTGCGTTGTTCAGCCGCATGATGCGACAAGAACGTGCGCAACAAGGACAGGCCTGGCTTTCAAATGGACCCGGCCGCAGGACATACAAATCCGGACCAGCGCAAGCGTCGCCGACCGGTGCGTTGTCGCGACTCCCTTTTTCCTGCCTTTGCGCTTATGCGCGTGCTGCTTTCTTTCCAGGTCCAATTGCCACAGGACGGTGCCTCTCTGCAGTTTGAACTCTGGGGCTTGAGACAGTCCTACGTGCCTTGTTCCATGGACACGAGATTCATCGGTCCTGCAGGACCTGCCTGGCACGATGCAAAGTGCAGAATATAATTTGCTTTCTACTTGCTCCGGTAAGTGGACTTCCTTGCTAACGCAGCCGCAATGTGGAAAGACCATGCTCCCTCGTGCTGTACATTGGACGTCACTTGCGTGCACTGAGGCGCTCGCCCCACTAGAGCAAGCTGATGAGATGTGCTTTTCAAGGGATTGACTCTGGAATGCTTTTGACTGTATCTGCTTGTCTGATCTGGTATTTCTCTGTTCTTGCCTTCACTTGTTTCAGCTGGCCTCGCTGGCTGGTCGCTCGCTCTGTCGACAACCTGTTAAACTCGGCTTGAGCCCTCCATAGTGACTTGACTAGTTGAGCGATTGCAGACTTGTTCATGTGTCGAGCTCACACTCGGAGATGGTAGGGAATCCCTCTTGACGATTGCACAGGAGCTTGAAACCTTAAACCTTAAATCCCAAACCCCAAACCTTGAACCCTAAGCCCCAAACCTTGAACCCTGAATCCCAAACCCTGGTATGAGCGCAAATAAGAAATTTTCTAAAAGCTTACAGCTTGATGAGAGGGTGGCAATGATAAGGGGTCCCAACTTGGGGAGTCGGGGTTGTTTTTAAGCCCTAACCCTTAAGCCCAAACCCCTCAACCTTCAACCCGCAACGTCAATCGCTTTGACCCGCAAGCCAGCCGTGGTAATGGGTAGGATCTTACCAACGAAGAACGGCTCCTGGGCTCTTTCTTGCGGGTGTTTTGAGATACGGGATGAGGGGCTGAGGTGTAGGGAGTGCGTACAGTTTAGGGTTAAAGGGCTCAGGGATGTTTAGGGATTAGGGTCAATGGGCTGATGGATGAGGGGACTTGGTTCAGGGACCTTAAACCTTAAACCCTGAACGCCAGAATTCGGTTTTGGGCTTAGGGTTCGTTGAGGTTTAGGCTTTAGGGTTTGGCGTCGAGGCTTTAGGGTTTAATTTAGGACGGAGGTTGAGATTTGGGTGTTTCACTCGGGTTCCAAGTACCTGAATGGGATGTCTAGGGCCAGGTGTTTGAGGCTTAGGTTTATCTAGACTACATACTAATTCTTTGAGGGTTTCGTTGTGGGAAACAAAGAAAATCGAGAATTCGATTGGCTAAAGGGGTGATTTTTCCTTGCCTTGCAAAGGTGTAATGTGGAGTTCTCAAAACAAAAAGCGTCATCTCTATCCCTTTGCAGAAATTAGGATTTCCGCGTCAGGGACCAGCAGGAAAGAGCAACGGCTCGGAAGAATTTTTCCGCCATATGTATATATGTACACATATTGACATATATATATATATGTATATGTATATGTATATGTATATGTATACATATACATATATATATATATATGCCCGAAAATTGGGATAATTCAAATTGTGACTTTGGGCCTAGTTGCATTGGTTAGCCATGTTGGCTTCTTACTTAACAGCAGGAGAGTGCGAGAAAGAATAGGAGTTATAAGATTTCGCAGGAGGAGTAGTAGTGGGAGTAGCAGTGGCAGGATTAGGAATAGGGTAAGGGTATGAGCAGGAGCAGGAATCGGGGTATAGGGGTAGTGGTACGGGTAGGAGGAGGCGTAGTAGCCGTGCCGGTATCAGTGGCAGCGGCACTCGCAGCAGTAGTCGCCGTCACAATGGCAGTTGCAGTTGCAGTCGCAGTTGCAGACGCAGTAGCAGCAGTAGGCGCAGTAGCAGCAGCAGTAGCAGCAGTAGTAGTAGCAGCAGTGCAGTATTAGCGGTATGAGCATCATTAACAATAGTAGCAATTGTAGCCGCAGCAGCAGCAGCAGTGCTGTAGTATTTGAAGTGGATCTTGTACTGCCCCACCCAACTCCCAGGTTCCAAATACGGTTCAATCAAGATCCTGTCAAAGGTTATTCGGGGTTTTTTTCAGCTGCATTGAGGCCAAGGTTTTAAGCCAAAACCCTGATTTGAAAACGCACATTCAACCCCACGACCGTGATTTGCCCCTGTACAACCCGATGCCCTACTACCCCATCTAGTCCACCAAACAGTTTGTAAGAATTGTGTTCCCTTGTTGTATTTCCGAATATAGTATAGAAATCCCTGCAATACGGATTTTCAGAAGGAGCTTCTTAACTTTGGAAACATCTATATAAAAGAATGCTACATGCTGCTACATGGTAGTTCCGCCGTGAATAGGGGGACCCCAGTATAGGCCTCAAATTCCTATAGTCCTTCGTATAAGGAAACCCCAAATGGTATCCCCCACAGAAACTCTCAACGTTCGTATCAGATGCGATCAGGAGGCAGCGAGAGGATGCCGAGCTAGCAGAGGTACAGGCGACGATAGCTGCCTGGCGTGCTGTTGGATTAGGGTTTTGGGTTCGGGGTTTGGGGTTCAGGGTTGAGGAATTTAGGCCTTAGGGTTTGGGCTTGAGGCTTTAGGGCTCGGGGTTTGGGGTTTAGGGGTTCATGGTCTGGATTTTCATCTTTATTCTTACTTGTCTGCTGTGCCTAAGCATGGAATCACATGTAAACTCGAACGGGAAATGGAAACAACTGGGTCTAACAGGGCTTACACAGAGTCATATTGCGTACTGGTTGTTAATGGGGGAACCGAGGCACGGGAAGAACATTGAAGCTATCCTTTTATGGGGTTTTCTATTGGGGTTACTGTAGGGATCCGTTCCCTTATTCACTATTTGCCAATGGTAAGTTGTGGTAAGAAGACATGGCGCGATCGCCAAGAATGGACTACTTGATTGAGCCGATTGAGCTTTACCAAAAACCCTAAACCCTCAACCCTGAAGCTTCCACCTTAAACCCCCAAGCCCGACGGCCCTAAACATAAGTCTCCTCATTCTTCCCCATACGGTTCTTATGTCGCATCTACCATCCGACCCATGATGACATTTTAGGGTTTAAGGAACAGGCTAGGAGGACCCCCCACCCTGTAATAGTGACTATAAAGGATAATAGGGATTATATCAGGGTCCTCTTATATTCTCATTACACCACTATTACAGGGTGGGGGGTCCTCCTAAGGAATAGGGCTTGATGGCATTTTAGCCTCCGAGGAGAAGCAGGTCATTGCTAGAATTGAGTAGTATTTTATTTGGGGATACTATGGTACCCAATAATATAGAGCTTAGGGCCCTATAACGGAGAATCAAATGGAAAAGAAAATGGAAAATGAAATGGAAACTGGGATTATATAGGGGTTATTTGAGTAGTATTCAATTTGGCGATACTATGGTACCCAATATAGAGTAAGATTATATCCTCCTTTTGGGGTATAGTATTTTATATAAGGAATATTGTCTTACTAGGTGCAACCACCAAAAAAAGCACTACTCAATTAGGTCCGTGGGTGAAGGATGCAAGAGACCAAGAAGCCCGCCTTCTGTTGTGATCCAATCTTAGCACCACATTCCTAAACCTGAAGCCCCAAGGTTTTTTGAAACCTGACGCTCCGTAGACCCTGAACCCCTAACCCACACTAAAAAGACCTCAACCCCAACCTAAGCCCCAAATTCCAAACCCAAATACTGACCCTCATAGCGTGTACAATCCATTTTTGTACATACGTGAGCCTTTCCTTAGATTTTGGGTGCCTTTGAAGATTTTGGCACCTTACACGCACCCTGTTTTCAGAAGATTTTTACGCGCTCCCTGGCAGCCCTACAACAACAAAACCCTAAACCCTAAAGTCTAAACCATAAACTCAATATCTTTCATCGTATACCTAAAGCCCAGGCCCCGACCCTCTAAAGAATCCAAAAAATGGAGCTCCTAATAATCTTCAAGTTTCAAGTTTCCCCCATCTAGTGATGGGTTCATGTTGGGGGGGCTCCAATTTTTGCATCCTTCAGGGGGTTGGAACCCTAAACCCTAAACCCTAAACCCTAACCCTAAACCCTAAACCCTAAACCCCGAAGCGTAGAAATGGAACTTAGAGACGATCAGGATCGGCTTCTTAAAGTTGTCGGTCTGGACGAAGATGACCCGCCTCAGGCGTCTGCAGGCCCGCTTATTCGGGGGGTGGTTTAGGGTTTAGGGTTTAGGGTGCAGGGTTTAGGGTTTAGGGTTTAGGGTTTAGGTTGGGTACTGCCCCCCCTCAGTAACAGTTGGCTAATAATTATACTATGGTTTTGTATAGCCTTTAATAGGACCCCTAATATGGACTGTTGCTGGGTGGGGCAGTACCCAAGGTTTAGGATTTAGGGTGCGGGGTTTAGGGTTTAGTGTGCAGGGTTTAGGGCCAGATGTCACCGTCCCCAGAAATTACAGTAGCAATTGCATTTTTACAAGCCCCCGCCCTGAACCTGAATTATCATAATCTTAAGGCCCTAAACCCGCAAACCCTAAGCCCAAACTCTCATTAAACAAAGGCACTGAGTCCACAAAAATCGTACACGGTTAGCTTAGGAAGACGCTGTATGTTGTTGCAGGATATTGCTTCCACCCCATAACAATCGCCTTATGATTGCATCTTTCACGAATACCTTAATCAGCATGACAAGTCCTTTATGTGTGTACATATACATACACACACGTTTACATACATATATGTATATATTATATATGCATAAGACTGTCATGGATGGGGACAACATCTATCAGTGTTTCCTACGAGGAAACAATCGAAACCTTTTTCTATAAGACACGTCAAAAGCGCAGAACGCTGTAAATGCCATCCAACATGCGTCCCTGGAAGTGAATCCGAAGGGTAAGCCCTGAACTCTAAACAAGCATTGTACTAAAGACTAAAACCATAAAACACCTAAAAAACCTAAAGCCTTAAACCCTACTAAACCCTAAGCTATCATTATCCTAGCGCCATGCACGCTCAGACCCTAAACCCTAAACCGCGATGTTTCACTATGCTAGAGCCCTAAATCCTCAAAATCTATCCATACACCCAAAACCTATTTTAAGCCATAATCTGAACTCAAGGGGGATACTAGGAGTTCATAGACCCTGGCTCTTATGAATATACTAAATCCTCACATCCTAATCTCTGCCCAAGGCTCCGGAGCGACTCCGGAGGCTGAACAAAGAAATGCCGACTCGCAACGGCCGCCGGGGAATTGGAGACCAAGTCCTCGGCGGACCTGGGGTGAAGAGGGTTTAGGGTTTCGGGTTTAGGGTTTAGGGTTTGGGGTTTAGGCTTAGGGTTTAGGGATTAGGGATGAGGGTTTGGCTGTTAGGGTCGAGGGATTAAGGATTAAGGGTTACGGTTTAGGTTTCAGGGAGTAGAGTCAGGGGGTCAGGGTTTCGGAATTGAGTTTAAGGTTTAGATAGGATATTGCCCCCGCCTTACGACAGTCATGTATAGCACCCTTATTAAGAATGTAACGTTACTATCATTCATTAGGGCATTGGCGGATTGTTACGGGGTGGCAAGTGTACCCAGTGTTCAGGGTTTAAGGTATCAGGATATCTGGAGCTCAAAGCATTGTATTTGGGTGAAGGTTTGGGGTTTAGGGTTTAGGCCTTTGGGCTTCAGGAGTTTTGGGCCACCAAAGCATTCTATTAGAGACTAACCGCAGAGTATCTTTGCAGTGCCCAAGCACAAAGTATCCCTGCAGTGACCAACCGCAGGCTATCCTTGTAGTGCCCATCCTTACAGCCCCACCCTTTGTAAGGTGCCCTTTAAAGCCCTTGCTTGTAAACCCCTTTGAAAGGACCCGGTGCAGGCTTCATAATTCCTGGAAGATGAAATGGACCCTGTCTGCCCTCATAACCACCTCCAAATGGGATCTATGCTGGCCTTATAAACCTTAAAAGGGACCCTATATGGTCACACGTCCCGAATTTTCCGTAGAGGTTTTGGGACGCGAGGCCTATGTGGGAGTGAGAGAAATGGACACGTAGCCCACGCCTGCCAACAAATCTGAGGGCACATGATGACCTGTTCCCTCACCAGGGAAAAGTATGCAATGCGGACCTCACAATTAGGGCCTCGCGTTATGTCGGCAGATCTTTGCGCACTGCTTTCTAAAGTCACAGTTTGGCTTCAGCTGTGCTCGCCAAACGAAGCTATACACGTAGAGGAGCACTCGCGGATTTACTCCAGGATCCTTCTTATTGTAGATGGTAGTCGGAGTGTATGTGTCCAAGCCTTGCCACCCCAAGCCACGAGAAGCCAAAACTGCCGAGCAGAAGAAGTTCCTGTTAGCCGAACGAAATTACCCCCCTCCCCCACCCCACCCTTCCCAACCTTTGCTGCCTCTCCCGCAAAGCATACTGACGAAGAAGGATCCGGAACCCTAGAAACCTCTGCGAAAAAACGCTCCTCCTGAAGAAGTGGTTCATTGCCGCACACCTCTTGGAACAACCTCCGACGTCCGTGCCAACCCTAAAATTATCAGAAAACCACGTGGTAAGTTATGAACGCGCATGGCCCTATATCACCCTTGTCAACTTGTAACCCCTTTACAAAGACCCAACGTAGCCGTATAACCTTTGTAAGAGACCCTAAATAGCCCTTGTAACTTTTGACCCGTTTAAGCCGACCCTATGCAGGCCTTATGACCTGAGCAAGGTACCCCATGTAGATTTTAGACAACAACTTGAATTTTCATCTATGTCCCGGGGGCCTGGCTGAGCAAGATTAAACAGAATCGGTCCAGAACCCTAAGTGTTGGACAACCACTTTTTGGGGTGGGGATGGTCGAAGAAACTGGTGTTTGTTCTTCCCGTCAAATGTGGGCTATAAGGGTATATGGGTTCAATAATTGTTAAATTGTGATGACCAGCCAACTTAGGGGACGGCAGGCAAGCCCCACTGATAACTGTCCATGACACAGGATGTACGGGTTTGGTATTATGTGCAGAGTGTCTAGAGTTTTGGTCACCTATGGTTTAAAAAGAAGCTTCAGGATGCATTGTGCCACCTGCGACCCTAAAAGCCATAAGCCAGCTCATGTTCGTACTGCGTTATGGTCATAGGGCGCACTCAAGGAATTTTCGCTACTTTATTGTATGGGTACTCGTACCTTCAAAGCATCAGGGCTTACTATTAGACATGTAGCAGGAGCCCCTCGCCGGCCGTCCGAGTTGTCACGTCATCGTTATACTCGGACCGGCGTCACTTGGCCGGAGTTGTCAGGTTTGCAAGCGGGTGTAGTCAAGGGTTTGGGAAGGTGCATGGGTTGAGGGTCGACATCTTCGGGTCTTGGAATCCAAGGCAGGTTGAGTCCCAGACCAGAGTCACGCGGTTTTACTCAGAAGCTGGGTTGCCCGTAGCTGAGGGCCTGAACGCTAAACGAGTTGGTCCACTCAAGGAAGCGTCCAGCAGGACATCAATGAGTACTCACTACGCCTTATCATGGCATTCTAGGCTTTTTAGAAGAGTTTTTTTCAGGGCAGATTCGGGGATTCAAGGCGGCGGGCCCGAAAGCTTGAGTTTGTGAAGATTCGCATCCGCAGCCACAGGGAGTCTTTTTATAAAGGCGCCCCAACTCGACACAGGATTTTTTGGTAGAGTGCTGGGAAGACCTGTAGAGTTGCAGGATTTCAAAATGTTTTGTTCTACAAGAAGATAACCAAAGTACGAACCATAGGCCACACACACAGACCCAGCGTTTGCGGCTTACGGTTCAGGGTTTAGGGTTTAGGGGACGCAGACCATGAAAACCATCAAACCTTACATCCTGACCCTAAAGCTTAGATCCTAAACCGCGGAAATCCACAATCTTACACGGAACTCCGCAAGGCCTGCCACGAAAAAGGCCATCCCTTCCCAGGTGAGGGGGATGACGCTGGAGATGAAAATGGCGATGATGATTGGGGTTATTGGCGGGCCGACGGTTCGAGGATCTCTGAAATCCAAAGTTGCTCTATGCGGGTTGCAAGGATTGTAAAGTTTATATGTATATATGTATATATGTATATACAAATTTTAATTTCGGTGCCCTTCCGGCCAGGGGCATTAAACCGCGGTTCAATTATTTGAGGAGATATGAGGGTACCTATGAGGACGTTACCAGAAGATAAGGGGTGTGGAGCTCTGTAAGCACGTCAAGGAAACTTGGTAGGATTTTGCGTTAAGTGTTCTCTTCACGTTTCTGCAACTTGTACTGGGTTGGTTCTGACCTGCTAGAGGGGGCTTATGTAGGGAAGCGGTAGAGCGTGGTTTCCGAGATGATTTCGAAATTCTCCAGTGATTCTGTTGGGCTGAGTGGGCATTGTTGTGGGAAAAACCGGACTGCATGATGTGGATTGTGTGTTCTGTTTTTTCTGTTGTGAGCAGGGAGCATGTAAGCTGGTCAAGTACTGCAGCGACTATCAGAAGGTGGGTCTCTGCGTCCCATTGTACTGCGTTTGGGGTTTAGGGTCCCATTGTATGCGTTCAGGGTTTAGGGTTTAGGGTCCCATCGTCAGTGGCACCCATCATTCTTTCACAAACCCCAACATATCCCCTGGGGTCTCCAAGCATGTCCGGTTTCGACCCGAAGCTTTCAGACTTCAAATTTCAAAGCTAGATTAAACTACTGGTTGACAACCCTGCAACCTAAATCCTAAGCCCTAAAGCCTAAGCCCTAAAACCAAAACCCTAAAGCCTAAATCCTGAGCCCTAAAGCCTGAACCCTAAATCCTAAAGTCTAAACCTTCAGGCTAAACCCTAAAGCCTAAAACCCTAAATCCTAAAGCCTAAATCCGAAACCCTAAAGCCTAGACCCTAAATCCTAAACCCTAAAGCCTAAGCCCTACATCCTAGACCCTAAAGCCTAAAGCCTACATCCGTCCTAAACTCTAAGTCCTAAACCCTGAAGCCTAAGCCCTAAATCCCAAACCCTAAACCCATACCCCCGTATCAGGTAGTCAGGCCAGAGCTACCGTGTCACGTTGCAGACTTCTGCTTGGTAGCGTGTGTGACAGGATTTTGTAAGCCTTCACCCTTCAGTATGTTACTTGCATCAAGTTTTTCGGCTTCGGTTTCTGGACTTCATGATGCGCCTATGAGATACCTGCACTTTGGGCGAGGGAGGGTCAGGAATCCGGATTAGCTTGATGCTTCCAATGTTTTGCTATTGATGGTTTGTAGGGAACAACACTTAAAAGCGTCGAGTAGGCCCGCGACATTTCCTCATGCCATATGCCTAAGTCTCTGACCCATTCTTATCACCATCAAGTTCTTTAATGCTGTGCTTTAGGGTTTAGGGTTTAGGGTTTAGTACAAGCGCCGAATCATCCCATGAACCTCAAACCCCACACCTCCAACAAGGAAGCCGAATCCGCAAACCCTAATCCCCAACTGTCCCATGAACCCTGAATCCATAATCCCATGCCCCGGAAGCCTCAAACCCTAAACGTGTCAGCTTCAAAATTTTGCGCATTAATCCTAGATCCTCACATTCCAAGAACCTTAGGCTTCAACCCAACATCCCTGCATCCAAAAACAGCCCTACACCCCGAACCTTAAATCTCTAAACTCTTAACCCAGAATCCTTAATCCTAGAATATTCGCTCTATATTTTACATTTGTAAGCACAACACCCTCAACCCTAAATCCCTTCAATCCTAAACCCATCAACCTTCAACCCGACGGCCCTAAATCCCTTAACCCTACATCCCTGAGCCCCACCACCTTCAAACCCTAAACCCCAAAACCTGAACCTCAAACCCCAAACCCGAAAGCGCCCTAAATAGTAGTTTCCATGGCCTTTCCATTATCCCGAAATAACCCCGGAACCCTAAACCCCTTTATTCTCCGGTGCAGGACAAGCTCCTGGCGCCGGACTGAGGACCGCCGACTCCCGCCAGCCTTTCCCAGCAGTACGGCCAGGAGATGGTTCCCCGGTCGCAAGGTTTAGGGTATAGGTGTACAGGGTTTATAGGGTTCATAGGGTTTTTAGGGTTGATGGGGTTTATGGGGTTTATGGGGTTTATAGGGTTTTTAGGGTTCATAGGGTTAATAGGTCTTAGGGTCTAGGGTAGTCATTGGATTACCCTTGTATACTGCCCCCCTAGGTTTCCCCTTAGCTGGCTTTGGCTTGCAGCTTTTAGTTTGTTCAGCATAGCAGGAAGGACGAGAGCATGCATTGCTGAACTGTACGATTGAATAATATCTAGTGAACATCCGTGACATGACAAGGATGCAGTCCCCGACCCAAAACCCTACAACCTAAACCCTAAAACCCCCAACTCCTGGGATAAGCCGTCAGTTCCTCAGCTGCGCACTAGGCCATGTTCCTAGACTAGCCTGAGTAATTTCCACAATTTTCTGACTGAAATTGGGGGCCTTAAGTAGATAGAATATGGGTTATATGGGGATCTTGCTATAATATACCCAAAGCCACGTTCTATCTACTTAAGGGGGGCTAGACCCTAATAGACTCTAGTCTTAATCATGGGGACCCCCAAAGGGAGCAGCTGTCGCAGGGATGGTGATTTCCAGATGCAGCTTAGGGTTGAAGGTTTAGGCTTTAGGGTTTAGCTTTAGGATATAGGTCTTCTGTTTCAAGCTCCTTATTGGGTCTAGTGTTTAGGGTTGGTTTGTAGGTCTCCCAAGATGTTCGGGCTCAGAACGGAAATTGCAATAGCCTGGAGTAGGGTGTGATGTTCACGTCAGGGTATGCGATTAGAGCTAGACCAGGATCAGCACATTGAGCACACTGATGATGCTTTGTGTTTCTGGGCACACTTATAGTGCCCCTTAAGTGGATAGCACATGGGGTATATGGGGATCTCATTAGGGTTCTTGTCAATTCCATATTCTATCTACTTTAGGGAGACTCCAGTTTCTGCCATCAAACGTGGATCTTGATGAAAAAGCTCTAGCATGTGTAGGACACTAATTAAGGGGAACCTATGAGGGGGGGTTGGTATAGGGCGGGGGGTATCAGGGGAACCCCTGATATTGGCGTTCGATGCAAGCGGTAAGCCCCCAAAAAAAATCGAACAGTGATATTCTCACACGTTGGTGTTCCGTCATTGGCCTTAATTGCGTAGGCCACCGCGATTGATTTGGGTCGAGCTTGGAAGCCTGAAGAAAGGCCAATGCGATTTCCTTGTAGGCGCCCTGTGTACACACGTACCTACGTAGGTAGGTAGGTAGGTAGGTAGGTATGTATGCATTTATGCAGGGGTGCTTCTGAAAAAATGGGGGACCATTGTTGAGAGTCCCCAGAAGAATGGTCAATTTTGGGGTCGATGCTGGGGTCGCCCAGAAACCCCAACATACTCATCAAGACGTTGCTCTACACATGTGGGACCACCTTGAGCCCTGAAACCTAGACCCCAAACCTTAAACCCTGAAGCTTAAACCCTATAGCCCTAAACCCTAAACCGTGGCCCCTACGGGAAATCCATAAGTCCCGGAACCTGCGGTGACCCAGGTTTGGTGCGAGCTCTGGTAAGACGAGCAAGCAGAAGAAGAGTAAGAAGAAGAAGGATGTTGGTTTTCAGGGTCAGGGGTTTAGGGGTTTAGGGCTTAAGGGTTTAGAGGTTCAGGGGTTTCGGGTTAGCAAGGAAGCGCAGAAGGCCTCAGGGTTTCACAAAACATATCGTCTTGGGATCCAGTTTTCGGAAGGACGCTGCACCTACAGCGAGACAGCAGAAGAAGGCGGGATCCCGGCAAGCTGTTCGTGTTTCGAGTTGTGTGGAAGTGATATAAGGGCCTAAATAATTACCAATATTATGGTTCCATATTCCTTATATAATCATGGTATTGGTAATGGTTTAGGCCCCTGAAGTTTTCATGGAGCCCCCAACAACAGAGAACCAACTGCCAAAGAACATGCAAAATGACGTGGAAACTGGGATGATGCTTTGGTTTATAGGATGTAAGTGTTACCTGAGAGGTCCCTTTCCCTGATAATGAACTTCCCCGGGTTGGAAGGCCCTAAGAGGCCCTCAGACCGGAAGGATTTCTCAGGCATCCCCCAATGTTCGTTGGCAGGGAGTCTGGGGTGCCTGCGAGAAGGACGCATCGCTTGGGTTTTGGGGTATAGTCCCCCTTAAGTAGATAGAACATGGCTTTGGGTATATTAGAATAAGATCCCCATAGACCCCATATTCTATCTACTTAAGGGGGACTATACCTCATTCTACGGGTGACCGCAGCTCGCAGCTGCCTTCGGGACTGGGAGCTCCGTCGCCAGCCGGATGTCTTTTGGCTCCAGAGCTACCTCTCCGGCGTGTTGGCCCTGCTCGATGGCCCCGGGCTCACTCAGTTCAGGGTTTAGGGTGTAAGGATTCCTGGATGCTACACCCCTGAGCCTGGACCTGAACTTGGCGCTAAAACCTGGAGCCTAAACACCAAATGCGGAGACCTGAACGATAAATCAGCAGATGTGAAATGGGTAAGGGCTGAAGCCTAAACCCGAAACCTTGAAGCCTAAACCCTAAGCCTTAAACCCTAAACCCTAGACTGTAGACCCTCGACCTGAATCCCTAAACCCTAAACCCAAGACCTGAGCCCCTAGACCCCACACCTTAAGCCCTAAGCCCGAAACCGGGTTTGGGCCCTAAAATCCTGGTGCCCTCACTCGGACGCGTTAGGCGGAAAGAGCCATCGAGAGGCGCTTGGCCAAGATGAGTAGGTCGTCGGGATCTGCCCTTGCTAGGCCCAAGCTACCTGGCAGGCCGCCTGGCCACAAGGTTTACTGTTGGGTTTAGGATTTAGGTTCTAGGGTTTTTTTCGGGTTTAGGGTCTAAGTGTAGGGGTTTTAGAGTTTAGGGTCTAGGGTTTTGAGGGTCTAGGGTTTTGAGGGTCTAGGGTTTTGAGGGTTTAGGGTTTAGGGTCTAAGGTTTTAGATTCAGGGTATAGGGTCTAGGGTTTTTGGGGGTTTAGGTCTACCGGGTTAAGGATTTCGGGTTTAGGGTGTAGGGTTGAATTGGGAAATCAGGGTAAGGTTTCTACATTAGTACGTTGGAACCCAAAAGCCACTATTCAAGGACTTGGCTCCTTCAAGATGGACACTATGGGGAGCAAGAGCTGAGATTCATGCTGCCACAAAATAGAGATTTCCTTGAAGCCCTAAATCCCATGACCAACATCCAGTTGCACATAGGGATGGTAGCTTGGTTTGGCTAGCAACGTGATTTGCAAGATTCCACCATGAGGCCTTCTCCCTTTGATTAGCATTCCTTGTATTCACTTTTTGTTGGTAGACTGAAGGGAGGAATGGACCCGAGGATACTTCCCCTTACAACTTCTAACAATCCTTGTTTTCTGTTCCTTCATTACCTTCTTACCAATAGTAGGCTTCAGTGTGCGGATAACTAGGTTTTCTTAGACATAGCGCGTTTTGTAAAGCTTGCTGGACGATGGGTTATGCACTCCATTATGGTTGGAAGTGAGAACGCCTCGTAGCAGCGGTCCCTATGGAGTTCCTTATAGAGATCTCATACCCCTAGCAACCTATCCGTGGGGATTACATTGAGGTTACTGGTGCCCTACGTTTCGCTGAAATTTTTGCTTGCCCCCTATACTTGGCATCATTTCCATTATCTTTTTACATTTGATTCTCCATTGCTGGGGCTACATGACCCCTACATGAACCCTATTTAACCCTGGCAAAATCATATCCCTGACGCCATCCAATCCTAAAGCCAAGGAAAAACGACCATCTACGTCTGAAGTGCCTCATGCCCAAGACACCCTAAACTCTTGCAAGCCCTAGAGTGCGGAACCCTTGCCCCAGTCTGCGGAGATTTCTGAAGCCTTGTCTTAGGCCCCCGGAGATGCCAAAAAAACTTTACTCCACACGGATTGGTCGCACCATCGAGCGAGGAGATCTCAACAGCTGCTTGTTCGAACCCTAGACCCTAAAACCCCTAAACCTTATGTACTATATATCCATATATACCCCTATATAACCCCTATATAACCCTATGACCCCCCAAAAAGGTACCCCTAAACCCTAAAACTACCAATTCAGGTTCGCAGGGGATGAAGGAATGGAACAGTCCGTCCGAAGTTCCGACCTTGTCTTACTCCCTCCTAAGCACCAGTAACACGAGCTTTGGAGGCCGGGAAGACCGTAACTTTGAGAAGTCATGGTTCCAGGGTTCCCAAGTTCTAAGTTGCCAGTGTTCCCGAATGATGATCTAGTCACATGAAGGTTGAGATAATATGTAAGATTATCACCTTTGCCTCAAACCCTAAACCCTAAGAATAGTCACAGAAAGGTGAAGATACAAGATGTGCTTATCACCTTAAACCCTAAGCCCTAAACCCTAAACCAAAGAATAAAATTACCTGCTTTTTGGTGCCTAGGGTAGACTAGGATTTTGCCCAAGACGGACGAATCGAGCAATTGGGTTGCTGCTGAGGAACTCATACGGATTCACTATGATGCGTAGTGTTTAGGGCTTAGGGTTTAGGAACCCTAAACCTTAAACCCTAAACCCTAATTCACTATATGGAGGAAGCAGTGCTCCTTACCGTATTCTTATATTGTGGAAACTCAACTTAAGTTGGGAGAATGATTGGCCCACTGAGAAAAAGATAGAATCCTTGGATAAGGGCCCGGCAAGAAACCGGGACAACTCGGGATATCTGGCCGGCAAAATCCGGCAAAGTATGGGGACAACTGGCAGGACAGATTTGGAGGCTTTGGAGAAGAAGCGGCAAAGGGACTGATAAGTATCCGGGATAACTTGCGGACAGATTTGGAGGGTTTGCTGAAAAACACGGCAAGCGTGCAGGACAAATCGCCGGACTCATTTGGAAACTTCTAGGCAGGAAGCTGTGGATCATAGTGAACTGTAGAAATTAAGGAAAGGCAAGGCATGTGTCATGAGACCTGCAGCGCGCAGCGCAGAGACTGCGACTACTCAACATGCGGGCACTCGTATCTTTCCAGCGGACCGCTCACTCGTCACAGCTGTCACTATCGTCGTCATCTGAGTCATCGCCAGCATGCGGGCGGGTACTGGACTGCACGTTGGCACTAATGCTCAGCGCTAGAACTGGAGAACGCTGCCGCCAGCCATGGTTCAAGTTGCCGCCTATCAAACCTCATTATTAGTATTTACGATGACCCATATTGTTGGTAACTTATAAACCCTAAATCCTAAACCCTAAACCCTTAGCCCCTCGACCCAAAACCCATAAAACCCTGAAGTTCCTTCAAAGGCAACCTGGCCAGAGGTAGGGAGATGAGGGCTAAGGCTAAGGCTTGAGGCTGAAGGGAGCTTAGGGTAGCCCCTTACGGTTTAGGGTTCGGGTTTAGGGTTTAGGGCTTGGGGTTTAGGGTGTAGGGTTTAGGCTTAGGGTCTAGGGTTTAGGGTTTTGGGCTTAGTCTGTGGCCTAGGGCTCCACGATTTGGGAAAGTTTGGACCTTTCACTGCAGGCTTAGGCTCAGGCTTTGGGCTTAAGGACCTCTTCAAACGGTGGCCCAGCAAAATCTCAGCCAAGCTATCACCCAGAGCCCAAACCTACATCATCTACATGGAAAAACCCTAAATCCTACAGCCAAAATCAAGCTGAAGAACCACTAAACCACTAAACCGCAAACCCCCAAACCCTAATCGGGGTTGCTGTTGATGAACAATGTAGGTGCAGTACCATGGACATGGCGAAAATAATTCGGTTTCCGTACAGTCGTATTTTTTCAGATTCATAACCCCTGTATACTCACTGCCTTACTCAGTCCCCATTTGATATCCCTACAATCCCTTTAATCCCTTTAACCCTAAAGCCCTTGACCCCTAAACCCTAAACCCCCAAACCCCAGACCCTAAAACCCTAAACCCTTAAACCAAGCCCCAAACCCTAAACCCCTACATTATCTCTACAACGACAACAGCCGAGGCTCCGAACTTCGCGATGAGATGCTTCATGCTGCCCAGCAAGTTCTGGGCGGAAAGCAGCTTTGTAATTTTTCATGGCTCAGAGTGAGTGTTTGGGGTTCATAGGGTTTCCTGAATGATTCTTAGTAGGGAATAAGGGAATATAATCCCTATACCTATATTATACAGCCCCTACATACTATGCTCCCATCTTCCCTACCAAGAACCAGTAAGTTTAGGATTTATAGTGACGCCCTTGCAGTTAGA